AAAAACATCGTGTGAGCATTGTGTTTGCAAATGGGGGGGGCTGCGCCCCCCCCCCAACCCCCCCGCTTTTTTTAAGCCGTGCAGAGCGTGCTTCAAAGCCCAAGAAACTTGTTGACGCCCATCATGTGAGCAGGGTGTTGCAATGGGGGCGCAGCCCCCCAACCCCCCCCTCTTCTTTTAAGGCCGTTCAAAGCGCTCAAGAACTGTTGAAAAACATCGTTGAGCATTGTGTTTGCAAATGGGGGGGGCTGCGCCCCCCCCAACCCCCCCGCTTTTTTTTCAGTTTCACCGAAGCCCAAGAAACTAGTTGAAACCCATCATGTGAGCAGGGTGTTTGCAGATGGGCGGCACAGCCCCCCCAACCCCCCCCCCCGCTTCTTTTAAGCCGTACCAAGCGTGCTTCAAAGCCCAAGAAACTAGTTGAAAAGCATCGTGTGAGCATTGTGTTTGCAAATGGGGGCAACCCCCCCGCTTTTTTTTTTTAAGCCGTGCAGAGCGCGCTTCAGAGCCCAAGAAACTTGTTGACACCCATCATGTGAGCAGGGTGTTTGCAAATGGGGGGGGGCTGCGCGCCCCCCCAACCCCCCCCCGCTTCTTTTAAGCCGTTCAAAGCCCAAGAAACTAGTTGAAAAACATCGTGTGAGCATTGTGTTTGCAAATGGGGGGGGCTGCGCCCCCCCCAACCCCCCGCTTTTTTTCAGCCGATGCCCAAGAAACTGGTTGAAACGCATCATGTGAGCAGGGTGTTTGCAGAACCCCGCTTCTTTCAAGCTGTACCAAGCGTGCTTCAAAGCCCAAGAAACAAGTTGAAAAGCATCGTGTGAGCATTGTGTTTGCAAATGGGGGGGGCTGCGCCCCCCCCAACCCCCCCGCTTTTTTTTGTTTTTTAAGCCGTGCAGAGCGCGCTTCAAAGCCCAAGAAACTTGTTGACACCCATCATGTGAGCAGGGTGTTTGCAAATGGGGGGCGCAGACCCCCCAACCCTCCCCCCGCTTCTTTTAAGCCGTTCAAAGCCCAAGAAACTAGTTGAAAAACATCGTATGAGCATTGTGTTTGCAAATGGGGGGGGCTGCGCCCCCCCCAACCCCCCCGCTTTTTTTCAGCCGAAGCCCCCCCCAACCCCCCCGCTCTTTTTTTTTTGAAGCCGTGCAGAGCGTGCTTCAAAGCCCAAGAGGTGTTTGCAAGTGGGGGGGCTGCGCCCCCCCCCCCCCCCAACCCCCCCCGCTTCTTTTAAGCCGTACCAAGCGTGCTTCAAAGCCCAAGAAACGAAGGAAATGACAGGATATCTGTCCAAAATGTAAGGAAAATAGGGTTTTCCCCCTAGGAAAAACCAAGGAAAACCTAAGGGAAATTACAGGAAATCCGTCCAAAATGTAAAAAAAATAGGTTTTTCCCTATGAAAAACCAACGAAAACCTAAGGGAAATGACAGAAAATCCGTCCAAAATGTAAGGAAAGTAGGGTTTTTCCTAGAGAAAACCAAGAAAATCGACCAAAAAAAAAAAAAAGGCCAAAAAAAAAAAAAAGAAAGACCCAAAAAAAAACTCCACCCATTCTGTAGGGCGGCAGATCCGCAAGGCGGGACCACCAAGTCAACATCCATGCCAAAGCCTTTGTTGAGGCTCAGGAGAAGGAACTGGTAGGTTATATGTGGGGTTCTACCACAACAATAGCTTCGGGTAATGAGTGGGTTCCCAGTACCTCAAGTATAGGACCCCAGCTATCTAGTAGGTACCCTGACCCTGCTTGCGGCCTTCATGCTGTAGCCTCCGGGTAGGAAGCACAACCCAGGTGGATCAGTAGCACAGGCCCGCCATCTGCTAAACCCTAAACTCTCTGAACCTTAAGCCACCAACCCTGAACCCGAATCCCAAACCCTGAAGCCTCAAGCCCTAAGCCCTAAGCCCTAAACCCTAAACCCTGAACCCCCAAAGGCCCTACAGCCCTGGCTCCCTGTTGCGAGGCGGTGCGAGCTCCCTTGAAGCACGTGGGAAAGCTGGGGGGATGCATCTTCGCCCTCGCCGCATGGTATCCCCCAGAGGTGCAGGCGCTTCTTGGGGTGGATGGCCAGGGTTTAGGGTTTAGGGTTTAGGGTTTAGGGTTTAGGGTTTAGGGTTTAGGGTTTAGGGTTTAGGGTTTAGGGTTTAGGGTTTAGGGTTTAGGGTTTAGGGTTTAGGGTTTAGGGTTTAGGGCCCCTGCCACTCCCCCGAAAAGGCAAAGGGTCTAGGGTGGAGGGCCTTCAGCCCGCTGAAGCCCCCTTGCAAGTCGGCAGAGAATCCAAAGCCCAAACGAGCCCTCAACAGTTTGTTTGAACACAACGAGATGCGCGAGAGCGTTTGGTGATTTGGGGCTCACGCTTTCGGGAAGTTTGGAGCTCGGGGTTACAACCCGCTTTCAGCCACACCCCTAAATCCTAAATCCGAAGCCCTAAACCCTGAACCCTATATTTACCCTAAACCCTAAACCCTAAACCCTGAACCCTGAACCCTAAACCCTAAACCCTAAACCCTAAACCCTAAACCCTAAACCCTGAACCCTGAACCCTGAACCCTGAACCCTGAACCCTGAACCCTGAACCCTGAACCCTGAACCCTGAACCCTGTTCTGGAGCTTGGTCACTTGAAGCCCCTTCCTCGGTCACTTGGAGGATGAGGGGACTCAGAGTATCATAGCGTAGCTAGCAGAGTACATACTTGTACTGTGTCTGCTATCAGGGTTCAGGTAGTTTACGGCTAAATGAAGGTCCTGCCGGAGGTTATCCTCATCTCCGCCCAACTTCCCAGTGCAAGCTAAGCAGCTCAATCATCGATCCAGTGCCAATGATCCTCGGGCAGGAGCGGGAGCGCAACAGCGCCAGCGCTAGCTGCGTCCTCGGCATCGTAGGGCCGATTTAGGAGTTCGGGTTTGGGGTTTTGGTTTAGGGAGGTGGGTTCTGAAAGTGCGCGGTGCTTGTTTAGGGTTCGGAATATTTTGGAACTACTTGTGCAGGTTCAGGGCAGGCTCTAGAGGATGCTTTTCATGAGCAGGAGAACCCTGCATAATTACTAACATGTTCGAACATTCCTCCTTTACCGTCCATAGGGTTCACCTAGAAATCACCCCAAAGCCCACCTGCAGAATACATGTTGTCTTTCGAGATGGATCCCGACATTGTGGGTCCGCATGTCTGGGCCCTGATCTTAATAGTAATGTTGACAAGTTGGTTCCATTTACGTTCCTTGCCAGCTCCAACAAGCAGCGATCAGCCTGACACCCTAAACCCTACACGCTAAACCGCTAAACCCTTGAAAAGACATGATCAGAATGTAGAAATAGAGTAGTGCAACCTGACGTTTCTCATTCCATCCGCCGGCTGCCGTGACTGAGGCTACCATGAGACAATCAAAACCCTGTTCACTCCGAGTGCGACTTCGGAAGGCTCGCGCAACCTACCGGCCTAAGCCCTCAAAAACCGCTCTTCTCGCAGCCCTCGTTTCCTGTTCGGGCAGTATGGTGATGCCGGTCCTGATCGCTGACGTGTTGTAAAACCATTATAGAATCCTAAGCCACAGCCCTTGCAGGCTCCTCAGCCTCAGGATCTTCAGATGCGACCTGGCAGCTCCACGAGGGTTTCGTCTTTCTAGGGTTTGGGGTTCTTTCATGCTGCCCAACACTCACAAGCAGAGTGTGGGGTAGGAGCCTTCCCATTCAACTGCTTGCTGCTAGAAAATACTGGCCTTCAACCTCTCCAAAAACGAAGAAAAGTTCAAATGGCTGTTGTTGGAGATTACGGTTCTCTGCAACGGGCACGTTGAAGGCCACTGGCTACTACGTGCTACGTGGACTCCACTACAGAAGATTCGGAGAGTATGTTGATACATGCAAACTGCTATGTGGGTGCTGCAAAGGCAAGTTGAACACAATGCCAGTATTGCTATCGGAAAACTTGAAAAGAAGAGTCTACGTGGCTACGATTTACAAAGTTTAAGCGGCACAATCTGAAGGGCTGGTGTTTTTACACATTGGTACCTTCTATAAAAGAGGAGAAAGACTTACCATGCATCATGATGCCTGAAAGCTTCAAAAGGCCGCCGTTTGCGATGAATGCCCGGAAAGCCGAGGCGCCGCCGCCCGAGAAGAAGGAGCGGGAGTTCCCGATGAAGGCGACCTGCCCCAGGGGGTTTCGCACGAAGGAAAGGACCCGTTGCCCAAGTCGGAGAGGCCTAGAGCCGAGGGATGTAAAGGAGGGGGTTGGGGGCTTCATGGGTTTGGGGGCTTCAGTATTCAGTTTGGGGGTTCAAGGTCTGAGGCTCTAAAGTTGAGGGTTCAGGCGGGTTTCGCATGCAAGGGCTTCACCACTAGTGGGGCAGGGTGGGGGGGAGGGTGGGGTAAGGTGTGCGAGTGAAGTCACATCGCATGGTGTAACGTCGTACACGGTATCATCTTTCATAGGCACTCCCAAGCAGGGAGCAAGATCCGAAAAACCGGCATGCAGGGAGTGTCCTTGCATGGCGGGAGCGTATTTACAACTTCAACTACTTCTTTGGTACGCCGGTACAAAATGAAAGCCCCAAGGGTCCATGTACCTAAACAGGGAACCTCTGATTATTGTATAAAATGTTCCCTAGCACAGGCCCACACCTACTTCTGCCCTCAAAGCACAAGCCAGAGAGACCTTAAGCCCGACACCTCAAACCCCAAGCTGTGAACCCTCCACCCACATCCTTGCGCCAGGGGAAGCTGCTCCTTGAAACGGCGCGACAATGCTTCCGCCTGACCGCGCACGCTACGCCCGGGGCCCGGGAGGGGGCTTAGGGTTTAACACTTCGGGGTCCCTAACTACCCAAGTAGCCTCTAAATAACCCCTAGATGTCCCCTAAGGTCCCTTATAAGGGTCCCTCCTTTAGTCCCTTGAGGTTTTAGGGTTCAGGGGTTGTCTTGGGCCTAGTAATGTTAACGTCCCATTTATAAATGGGGTGGTAATAGTAATATTCGCCGGGCCAGAGAAGACTACTTTCCATTACGGGAGGTTTTCGGGCCGATGTATGTAAACAAGTCTATATAGGGGGGTCCGGTGATAATCATAATGGGGCGGTAATTGTAAAATTTTTCCGGCCAGGAATTGAAAACTTTACAGAGCGGCGGTCCATTGCAGCAGAGCAGGACAACACACAGACCAAGTCGGGCCGGCAGAGCAAAAGGAGCTGCAGAGAGCAAGCAGAAGCCTTCACAAGACAAAGCAAAGCAGACCCTGACAGCTGACCCCCCCCAGACCTCCAGACCCCCAGACCCCAGACCCCCAGAATCCGCACTATTGACACCCCCTCTTTTTTTCCACCCCTCCAAACCCCGGGGACCAAAACAAGATTGGGGGCGGGGGGTTATTAAAGGGACCCTAACATTAGGGTTCAGGGCACCTGGAGTTTGGAGGCGCAAGAGATTTACAATGGAACTTGTAAGGCGGGATCTCGACGGGGATACCCTAACCGGGGTTGCGCGCCTTATTGGGAATCCGAACTCAAAAAGAGCAGACGTGATTAGTTGTCAAACTTACGGCCCCATCGTTTGTGCTGTGAAAAGTGGAGGGTTCCACAGACTGGGTTTGTTAGAGTCCATACAGGGCTTCTCAGAAGGGTCCTCTATGACTCTATGACTCCTTTTTGAGTCCTTGTTCACCCGTATCGAACCCCTACAATGCCTGACGGCGCCGGCTACTCTAAGGGTGAGGGACCGAGGAAGAGCCGGTCAGCTCTGAACCGTAAGGCCGAACCCTAACCTACTAAACTAGCACAAGCCCCTAACCTGCCCTAAGCCGCAGACCGGAAGCTTCCGGAAGTTTCCGGAAGTCCCAAACCCCCTCTGCGCGATACCCTCCTGTGGAGAGCCAGGCGCCAGCTCTTGGTGGTGGTCTCCAAGCAACTCCACAGCCGGGCACGGCAGCGGGAAGTGTCGTGCGGCACTGAGTGCGCCAGGCTATGTAGGGGGTCTATGACAGCCTTCCAGGGGCTGCTGCAGGGGTGCAGGGCTATGCAGGTCTTGAGGATTCTAGGGCTTTATGGTTCTTGGTGTTGGAGACCGCCAGCCCCTCTTTTGAAGGGAAATAGCCTCTTGTACGGCACTGCCAGATCGACCCCACGAGGATGAGGACTTGTCAAGACGAAGGGCGGTCCTCGCATGGACCGTCTGAAGGTCTGCAATTTAAGAAGCTCCACCTAAGGGAGCTCAAATGAAGAAGGACTCCCCAAAGGGGGAGCCCTGATAAGAACAGCCCTCAAAGGTGAGCCTTGTGTTTCTTGTGCCTGCCAGGAGCAGCTTGTGCCCAGAGGGCTTGCCGATTTCGTAAGCAGGTTGTAGCAGGGCTTGGAAGAATCGTGGTGGTCCTTCTACTTACCACAAAAGCCCCAAAACCATCCTCAACTTGAACCGTCCTCTGAACCTCCATGTCGCCATGCCCAGGCCGACCATCTCTGGACTGGCCACGGAGTTGGCGAAGGTGGCGAAGGTGGGGCAATTTTTCATGAGGGTCCTGACCGACTGAGGCTTTGCTTTTTAGATTTTGGGCCAGGGGTTTAGGGGTTTAGAGGTTTAGGGGTTAGGGTTTAGGGTTTAGAGTTTAGGGTTCAGGATTCAGAGTTTAGGTTTCTTTAGGGTCAGGGATTCTTGGGAAGAGCAGGGTAGATAGACCTAAACAGGGGCGGAGTTCCAGTACGGATCCCTACATTTGGGTTTCTGTCATAGTATGGGTCCCTATGTGAACTTCCCTCCTTAAGTAAGTTTCGGCAGCCCACACATGCGTGCAACATCTGAAACCCTAAAACTTAACCTTAAACCCTTACCCCAAAAACTCTGAACCCCAACTCCTAAATCCCAAGCCCGAAGCCAAACCCTAAATAGCGCGAATTATGTACAACTCCAAGCAGTGCACATTCGCCGTCTGTTGCTGGGCATCGGCCAGGCCTGCGTTTCTGGCGTTCCGCCCAACGACACCGCCGGGGGCCTTGGCCGTACTAATCGTGGCCTAGGTGATTGGCAGCTGGGCCCCAAACCCTGAACCCCAAAACCCCTAAACCCCTAAACCCCTAAACCCCTAAACCCCTAAACCCCTAAACCCCTAAACCCCTAAACCCCTAAACCCCTAAACCCCTAAACCCCTAAACCCCTAAACCCTAAACCCCTAAACCCCTAAACCCCTAAACCCCTAAACCCCTAAACCCCTAAACCCCTAAACCCCTAAACCCCTAAACCCCTAAACCCCTAAACCCTAAACCCTAAACCCTGGGCTTTGTTGGGGGTACATTATAGTAATGGAAGAAGCCTGGGAGTGATGCGAGTAGTCCCCATTATTGGAGGGCACGGCACACCACCAAGCATCGCTCCCAATAGGGTATCAGTACTCGAAGTGGAGCTGCTCCTGCTGCTGCAGACGCCAGCATCCCGGCGCATCCCGCAACAATCCACTCTCAGAAAGGGGCGGGAAAGTGACCTAACCTTCATCCTGAAACGCTTACCCTAAACCCCAAACCCTAAACCCCAAGCCCTCAACCCTTCAACCCTAAGCCCTAAACCCCAGAAGACCCCTAAGGTGGCCAACCTCCGCTGGACGTCAGACATCTTTGACCTCCTCCTCCGCATGCACGAGGAGCAGCTCTGACCTCAGAGACATGAGCTGCGGCGGCATGTCCCAGCACCTTGATGTGTAGATCTGGGAGTCCATGGAAACAGGGGTAGCCGAATATAGAACCCCCCCAATAGCAGGATCCCTTAAAAACACGGACCCCAATAAGGTGCCCCTAAATCTCAGAAGCCCCTATACGCTGCGGGGGTTGTAGGGGGACTGTTAAGGTTTAGGGTCATGGGGTCGTGCAGGTAGAACCTCCGGGCGTGTTTCCTTGTTGTTGAGGGGTATTTAGGGGTATTTAGGGTATATGGGGGTTCAAGGCGTTCAGAGCCAAGCTGTGGGTTCCAAACATGTGGGGCGCGCGGGCTGAGGGATGCTTGGAGGCGTGCGAAGGACTGAGCTAATGTTTTGGCTCTTTTTTGCATGGCTATCTTCTTTCATGGTATTCCAATATGCACAGTTGATACTACGTTTTGTTTTGTCTAAGTATTTATTGGTTCATCATTCCCGGTATTTCTCGAAGGTTTTCCGCCTGTGCCAATGGGACTTCTGGATGCCTTTACCCACCTTCCCATCCTCGCACACCAATCCCTGCTGTTGCGAAGCCACTTTTCCGTTACACGAAACCCAAAGCCAGCCTGATGTAGTCAGCCCCACCCCTCATCCCTGAACCCCAAGCTCTCCTTTTAGCAGTTTATGCATGTATATACATGTATATATATATATTATCTTTATTTATTTACATATTTAAATATTTATATAGTTATATACATATATCTATATATACACACCAGTATTTAAACTGAGGAACCGAGTGGCCGTGCGGCCGCTGAGCCTCTCCGCCTTCTACCAAGTGGGCGGCTTCGAGCTCCTCGAGTCGGGGGGCCTTGGGTCTGTAAATGCCAGGGGTATATCGGGGGTATATCGGGGGTATACAGGGAGAAAATAGGGGTATAGTCTGTTAGGGGTATATTGGGGGTATACTAGGGGTATAGTAGGGGTAAAAAAGGTGTATATTAGGGGTCGATTAGGGGTATATAGGGGTATATGGTTATATAGGGTCCTGGGGGTAGCAAGGGTATAGAGGGTATGTGGGGTATATAAGGTAAGTAGGGTACGTTGGGTATACGGCTCGTAGGGTTTAGGGTGTAGGTTGGGTTTTTCGGGCTTGGTGTATGGGAGTTCTAGGGCTCAGGTATGTAGGACATGCCTTACTTGAGATTCTTATTTACCAGGGTTCTATGACTTATGACGCAGAGCTGTTTATGGATCAAAACACTTCCTGTGGTGGGACCCTGAACCACTGATACCCCATGGAACCCCGAAGGCTCAAGTCTCGAACGGGCACGCAAACCCAACCCTGAGAGGCAGGCCTTCGAAAATAGAAGCTCATGTAGGCATGGGGGGCTAACGAACATAAGGGACCCCAAATAGTAGGATTCCCTGATAAGAAGGCACCCCCTAATTTCGGAAGCCTCCAAATTGATATTTGGGTTGTGGCAGGTATCTGATCATTACTCGGACCTTTAGGCCCAAGACAGCCTAAAGCCCCATATCCTGTAACCTTCCAACCTCTCAAGCCTTGAAGCCACTAGAAGGGGCCCAAAACATCCTTGGGAATCCAGGCAGCAAACGCCAAACACCATGCCATTCAGACTCAAGAGGACTGATTCAACCGTAACTTCCATACTCCGAAACCCTGTGCTATCTATACCTGTCTACAATTTGGTAGTTCGGTGGGCTGAACTGAACAGCTCATGCCTGTAATTTGTGAACCCTGCTTGGCCAGGTCCAAAACCCTAAAACCCTAAAACCCTAAAACCCTAAGACCCTAAGACCCTAAAACCCTAAAACCCTAAAACCCTAAAACCCTAAAACCCTAAAACCCTAAAACCCTAAAACCCTAAAACCCTAAGACCCTAAAACCCTAAGACCCTAAGACCCTAAGACCCTAAAACCCTAAAACCCTAAGACCCTAAAACCCTAAAACCCTAAAACCCTAAAACCCTAAAACCCTAAAACCCTAAAACCCTAAAACCCTAAAACCCTAAAACCCTAAAACCCTGAACCCTAAACCCTTAACCCTAAACCCTAAGCCCTTGTCATACTTGGTCCCTGCCTTGGTTGAAGGCCGCTGCTGCAGAAGGTGGGTCAGCACCTGGATGTGGACGCAGGACCGGCCGCTTTCTTGAGGGGGTTTAGGGTTTAGGGTTAGGGTTTGGGGTGTAGGGTTTAGGGTTTAGGGTTTAGGGGGCTTAGGGGAAAGGATCCTGAATTGAGGATTAGGGCTAAGGGTACAGCAGTCATACTGTCATAGGAGCCTGAGTAAATGCAACTATTACTTTCCATAACCCCTGTAGAATTTCGTGAGAGTATCTTGGTACGGTAGTAGACCATGCATTGAGGCATTTTCTGTTGGTTAGGGTTTAGGGTACATGAGACCGGCCCTAGCCTTAACTGAAGGGGTGTAGGGCCTTAGGGAGTTTCAGGAGTGTAATCAGTTTAGGGAGTTTAGGGAGTTTAGGGGTTTGGGTGCTTAGGCTTCCGAGCATGTGAGCACTCAGGCTTCAAGCATGAGCCCAATATCTCGTCCAGGCCCGCCAGCGTTGGGCAGCGCACTGGCCTACTTGGAGAAGGCTCGATGGGTCTTCGGGTGTTAGGGCTTAGGCGAGGGTGTAGTGTGTAGGACTTGGGGTGTACGGGTTGGGGTGGAGCAGGGTGATGGCTCTGAGGTTCTGTGAGTGTAAACCGAAGGCCTGAAGTGTACGGGCTCGAAGAATCATGCACATGGTCTTTTTTTCTCCACTCTACAGTCCCCTTCAGACACAGCAGATTCTACTCCCGAAGTAAATCTGTGAGACCAGAAAAAGCCTTAGGGAGGCAGATCTGCCTGTCCATTGAGAGGTTCAGGGGACAAAGAAGTACTCCAACGAGGATAGCCTCCTGACGAGCCCCCCAAAGCCCTAAGTTACTGGGCTTATTGGGCCTCCTCTACCTCAACTTGCTGCTCCTTTTTTTCCGAGCCTGCGAGGCCCGAGGGTGCTAGTTTGTGGCACCGCAAAGTCTCGTGAACAGCGATCCCGAGGTGGCTCCTCTACTCTAAGAAGCCCTTGAAAGCCTAACACCCTTCCCTCCCTCCCCCCCCCAACAAGGAACAAAGCAGAAAAAGAAGCCTAGTTCCTAGAGCACAGCCTCGCAGGTGACCTCGCACAAGCGCTTCACCAACGCTCCCCAGGTCGCTTGTCTCTTGAGAGGAGCCAAGCAAGGGTCCAGGTATCGGGTGAGTCCTCGGCATAGGGCTTCAGGAAGTTTAGGGTACAGGGTTCTGTTGGATGTTCCCCCCCTTTTCTAACAGTCCTTCATAGGGATTCTAGTACCCCCCAATTATACCCCCTATTAAGGACGGTTAGTATAAGGGGAACATCCCAAGCTCGGGGTGTAGAGGGTTTAGTGTGCTTGAGGGCATTTAGGGTTCTCAGTAGTTGAATCATGTACTCCTCGACAAACCTGACATCACCCACAAAATTGGTGGCCTTTTCGGGGTGCCCCTTGTTGCATCCAGAGGATGAGGGACTCAAGGTCACGGCTGCTCCTTTTTTGTTTATGTATTTATTTATTTTGTTTATTTATTGATTTGTATACTATATATATATATATACATACATATACATACATACAGGCATCCTTTTTGATGGGACATGCTGTCAAAGAGTTATGAGCCAGGGACCCTGACAAGCACAGTTTCTAGGGATGCCTCCGGATGAATACGAAGCATACCCAATCGGGACCCAATAAGGGACCCTGATTATAGGGGACAGGGGGGGCTTGGGGGGGTCCAAGGAGCAGACTGTAACAGGAATGCAAGACAGGGAAACGTGATCTCGAGCAAACCGCCACTCAGGCGTTGCGGGCTCGGACGAAAACCGGTCCTCGCTCAAAACAACACCTAAACCCTAAACCCTGATAAGCTCCAAACCCTGCACCCTCGCCCTAAACTCAACACCCCTAACCTAAGAGCTCCAAGCCGCTTGGTCCAAGCCTTAGTCCAGCCTTTTGCGAGGTCGGGCTTCTGAAGGTTGAAGACGGCTTCATCCCCAAGGAGAACAGCGGGGGGTTTAGGGATTTGGGGCCCCCAGGCTTGAGGTTTCTGGGAGTTAGGGGTTTGGGGTTTGTGGATTCATGTTCTGTAGGGTTGTGAACCTGCTTGATTTTCGGGTACCAATGTGGGGGTTTTGGGGGGTTTGAGGGTGCAGCGATGCCTCACTTCCTCCGAGTCCTTGTCAGGATCCACTGTGCCGCTCTGTCCAAGCAGAAGCCTTGAGGATTATGCTGCCAGCCAGGGCCTCAGCAGACTTCTCGGTGGAAACCCT